ATGCCACAATATCATTTCTGGGATCCCCTGCATCAGCTGAATTGGAGCGTACACAAAAAGCAGGTTACAGCTGTCAATGTTCTCTGCTACCAAACCGTGGTATCTCTGGTATTTTCAAACTGTATACAGGCCAGTTACCCGTGGCTGTAGGGGAAAAATGCCTTGAATGGTCATTCAGAAAAACCTACATGACTAGCAGTGCCTGCTACAGTTCTGCTGTGAACAGTACTTTTGCATTTGTTAAAGGAATGAGATGGAAATGTGGAAACTCCAGCTACAAGCTGAAGCTCATTTCCATTTTTTAAAGCCAGAAATCTGGATTTAGATGTCAGTCTCCAGAAGATGTTAACAACAAAACAAAGCAGGTGGGGGAATTGCTGCCCTTGTATTTCGGGTGAGGAGCTGTAACTGACTTTGGCCTTTTACTTGAAGCCTTTTACTTGAAAAAGCTTGCAATTATGCTAAAATTTTCCTCTTTCTATCACTGCTGCCTCTCCTCCCATGCCTCCTGATGCAGCTGAACCATAAGGTCTGTAGTAATAAAAGGCATCTTTTTACTCTGTCAATACCATTGTTTATTTTATCTCTGCAGCTCACACTAGGTCTTGGAATGAAATGAAAAAACACCCCTGCTGTTATCAGTACAGGGCAGAACCAGACGGGAAACTTGTGGTATTGCTCTGACTAGCGCTGTGTCTTCATGCAGCTGAAGGGTAATGTTAGGAGGTGCTGGGTGCCTTCAGTATCCCTTCAACTCATCCAAAAAAGAAAAGGAACTTCAAAGCACTTCAAACGAAGAAACTTCAAACTTCCCCATTTCCCTGGAGGTGCTGGGAACCCCAGATTACTCAGCTGTGGCTGGGCAATGAGGTGAGGTGCTTCCTCTCCCTCCGTGCCATCAGTCGGACTGACTCGGACCTTTATTGGCAGTACCTTTCCTGGAGTCACTGGAGGTTTCCATCAGCTCGATCCAGGAGATGTCACGCACTGTATAAGCTTGCACCTCACACACTGGCTTCTCATAGCCCAACTGCAAGCATTTAGGGCTTGTGCAGCAGAAACAGAAGGGGCTATACCGCGGGCTCTCCACTAGCTTCTGCCCTGGGCAGATAAGAACAGCACTTTTGTAAATTGGCCCAAGGCATTGCCATGACTCAGTTCAAAGCTGTGCAGATAAAATAAGACAGTGGTGTTAGAAAAATAAAGAGCTTTGTAGAATCTCCAGAAGCACCAAAAGAATGGAACATTTGAAGAGAATAATAGTCTAATATTAATATTGCTGTTATTATTATTGTTTTGTACTGTGCCTAGGCTCCACAGCCTCCCTCTAATACTGGAGCTGTTATGCTGGGCACTGGAAATGTGTGATATGAAGAGACAGCCTGTGCTTTTAAAGGGCTCCCACCCTAAGCACCAGAGTGGGAAGAAGGGAAAGGAAGGGAGGTAGCAGCAGGTATCATTGAAATACTGATGTTGGGAGGATGAGTTTCAGGACTCTTCTGTGAACCAGCCAGGACATTCTTGGGCATACAGGGGACCAGGTAGGGCACAGCATCATCCTCACATCATAAGAAATTCTTGTCTAATTAATTTTTTCTTCCTCAGAAGCCAAATACAGCGTCTGCGATTTCTGTTCAAGAACCTCCCAGATTATGTTAACTTTCCACAGGAGTCAGACTCTTTTATCCAAACAGAGCTGCATTATTGCTCCCTGCTTCACAGTTCCACTTTTGCTGTCTTCACAGAACATCATCCTTTTCACTGTCTGAACTTTGCCTCTCTTGAAGAGACAGCATCCATTTGGGAGGAGGGAAGGAGACAAACATTGAAAAAAAACCCCAAACCAACAACCAAAGAAACAGCAGCTGTTTGATTTTGCTCAGACACTAGCAGCATTTGCAGAAGTCCCTAAGGAAATGGCTGAGTGGGCTTGAATCAGACAGAGCAGATCAAGGAGAATGGAATTCATCACCTGGCCTTGCCGTTCATGACAGGGCAAGGACGCAGCATGTGCTCCAAGGGAAGACAAAGTTTGCATGGGTGCTGTTGCCTTCGGGGCTGTGCGTTGAGAGGGCAGCCTGTAGCAGTTAGCAATACCGTGAAGGGATCTTTGCGGTCCTGCAGGGTGAACCACATCTCAGGCTGCCTCATATCAGTGTCTCTCAATGCTTAATTTGTCCCCATTGTTCCTCTGGCCATTGTCACAAAAAGTTTTTTTACCATTTAGACTGTGTCGACTGTATGGAGATTACAGGGAGAGAAGAAAAAGACCCAATGAAAGATTACTTTCAGACCTAAGATAAAAATTTATCTTTCCTCCTAAAATCAGTATTTCACAGCCTAGTCAGAAACCAGCACCCAGAACACATTTAATCCTCTTATGAAAAACAGCCCAAGACCACTCTTCAGCCACTACAGTAAAGTAAGACATGGTATCATCTTGATCATAGCTGGCAAAAGCCTTTGCCAAGGTGGCAGGAACCAAGCAGGAAGTCTGGAGATCATCACAGAGGGCCTAAGATCCAAGAACATAAAGAGTTATGCTTTTGTTACTACCAGGTGTCATGGGACAGTTCGATGGAAGCAAATGTGTTCTACCTGTGGCTGAGGTTTCTTTGAAGGTGAGAGGGAATTCAGATTAGAGCAACTGCAAAATCCCGTAACACCAGTGCTGCTCTTCCCCTGCCCTTCTTTGCTGGGACCTTGTAAAGGTGGTGGCACCACAAATGCCACAGCCTGGCAGACCACAGGCTGAGATTCAACATTACTTCCTGAAATTCAACATCTGCAAGACCAACGTTTCACACAGCATCTTTTCTTAGTGTAGCCCCAGTAAAATGTCACAAGAACAGGACTAGCATTGTGCTGCTGCTGAAAGATGAGACGTAGTATTTTTCCTTTCCCTGTGTAAATTCAGTTTGCTTTGGGATGTCTATCAATTGTGACTCTATCTGTTACTGTTCACTTGTGTCCTGTAACCATTTATTTTTTCAGAAATGACCTATGTATAGATACGAGTGTTTTGCTTATTTTTTCTTGGAGATTGGAAATGCTGCTTTTTATCATTGTGTTTAACCTCTTCTTTCTCTAATCCACCGCCAGGTATCTCCATGCCTATACCTGTCTTTGGACTACAAGATGACTCCAAAGTGTTTAAGAAAGGTAGCTGCTTACTTGCGGATGACAATTTTGTCCTAGTAGGCTCTTTTGTGGCATTCTTCATCCCTCTAACCATCATGGTGGTCACCTACTTTTTAACTATCAAGTCGCTGCAGAAGGAAGCTATGCTATGCGTGAATGACATTGGCCCAAAGACCAAGTTTACTTCATTTAGCTTCCTCCCTCAGAGTTCCCTGTCCTCAGAGAAACTCTTTCAGCGCTCTTTGAACAGAGACATGGGGACTTCTGGGAGGAGAACCATGCAATCCATCAGCAACGAGCAGAAGGCTTCCAAGGTTCTTGGCATTGTCTTCTTTCTGTTTGTTGTGATGTGGTGCCCATTTTTCATCACCAATGTGATGGCTGTAATTTGCAAGGAGTCATGCAATCAAGAAGTCATTGGAGGACTACTTAACATATTTGTTTGGATTGGCTACCTTTCTTCGGCTGTCAACCCACTTGTATATACATTGTTCAATAAAACCTACCGCTCAGCTTTCTCTCGTTACATTCAATGTCGCTACAAGGAGGAGAAGAAACCTTTCCAGCTGATTTTAGTGAACACTATCCCAGCACTTGCTTATAATTCCAGCCAGCTCCAGCTAGCACAAATGAAGAGTTTGAAAAAAGAGGCAAAAATGATGGCTAAGGATTATTCGATGGTCACGATAGGAATACATCATTTGGATGGTACCTCCAAGGGAAGTATCAGCCCAGCGAACGAAAAGGTTAGCGGTGTGTGACAGTCGGTAGCTGCCATGACAACCATCGTGTGTACGCTGAAAATTTCACCTGGCTATGAGAAGCTCTGATAGCTTAGGAAAATCAGCCCTGCTCAAGAGACCCTCCAATAACATCACATACTCCTCATATTATCCTGTGGATGAAAAGCAGGGTTGAAATGGTATCAAATGTGCAATTTCTTTTCATACAGTACTTTGGCTGTTTTAAGCACAGACTTTATTAAACTTATTTTTTTAATATTCTAAAGGATATATTTCTTAAAGAAAAAAAATGCAATTTCTGGTATTATAACATGGGCTGTGAAGAAACCTACGCATTTCTTTTCTCTTTGCAAACGAAAGCTAAGTTGTCCTTTAATGTCCTCACAGAGTAGGCTCCAGCTAGTTTGTCTTGCTACGATGGAATTTTGTTATCATTAACTGAATGAGCACTTTATGGAATTTTAAATAAACTGATGGTTAATTTGCTTATATATATTGAAAATAAATTTTAAAGTATTAAAGAAGAATCTACTAAAGCCCATATAGATTCACTATATGGACATTTTGGTAACTGTTTTTATGGCTATTTTTTTCTTCTGAGTGACCATTCTGAAATGTTACTGGGCTCTTCTGTAATTTGTTCTATAGTTCAAATTAGCAATCTTCAAAGGTAAATTATACTTGAATGATCCTTTGTTTCTACCACCACTTGTAATCTTCATTTCATGTCTTGTACTTTATTTCCGTTCAAAAAGTTCATCTGTTCAGCTCAAAACTTGAAAGTAATTTTTTCAAAAGTAATTATTGGGCTTCATTCCCTGCTCCTTTCCACTGGTGTTGACAGGGTAGTGAAGTGACAGAAGAGTGGAAAATCAGGCACAATATTGCTAAATAATTTCAGGAACGATTCCAACATCCATGCCTCTGTTTGATTCCAATGGAGTCTGATTTAAGTAATGTCAGTGGAAGTTTTGCACAAGTAAAGCCTTCAGTAAAAGGCTGCAGCAGATCCTTTCTCATCATTTCTCTTTGGTTAAAAAAAAACATCACGAAGAATGTCCTTCTGGTTTCGTTTTAGGGCTTGTAGAGCCACAATTATTAGAAAACTGTTAGTTGCTCAAATTTGTTTCCCCTAGTTTCACTGTTTTGCTGTTATGGCAGATCGCTCAGGAACGGTAGGTAGCTTGCACTATTAGGACTCAGCCTTAATGAAATACATATGGGCAAATGGGGCCCACTTGAAAAATAGCAGGACTTGTGAGTGGCACTGTATTTCACCTGCATAGCTCCAAGGGCAGAATACATTATACAAAGAACATCAAACACACTGCTTGACAGAAATGCCTAGTCATGAAACTGTTTCCTTTCGGGCATCATAGACAATTTCACTGAAGCCAGTGGGACTCTGCTGGAGAGCAGAAATATAAATGTTCCATCCACCTCCAAAACCTAAATCTAAGCATTTGATTAGTTCCATGAATTTTGCAGCCATAATCATCAGAAGCAGGATGTACTCCAGTTTCAGATCCTGTCCATTCCAAAAAAACCACTGCCTACCCAGAAGTCAAACTCCAATGCCTTCATCAGTCCTTCTCTTGAAGTTGTTCAGTTTTCACAAACCAATTAAATTTCCACTAAGGCAAAGAAAGAGAGACAGAGAGAAACTGAATCTGATTCTAGCCTACCAGCTGGGTGTTTTTGGAAGAGGAAGACTTTTAGCTTAAAATATTGATCTGTGGTAGATGAGGACTTCAAATTTGGCTGATTTCCAAGAAACTGCTTTTATTGTTCTCTTGCCAGTATGAGAACTAAACCTGCCAGTTTTATGAGCCATTTTCTCCAACGTGGGACAGGTCAGAGCCACCATGCACAGGTCCCACAGGAGCTCTGACTGCACATGATGGCACTGACTCACTCCACAGCCCTCAGCCCCCATGCCTGGGTCAAAGCGTTGTGCTGTAGCCCCGTTGCAGCGATGCCTTGTATGTCATCCATCAGCTCGTGGCCATTAATGGTTTCCCCCCCCCCCCCACATCTGGGAAATT